GCCGCGCGTATTGGATACAACAAACGCCTTAGAGCTCGCGGACTTTTTATTCGTAGGCAGCCCGATAGCAATTTTCGTTCTTTTAAAAAGAATATATGTCCGTTTGAAGAACAAATGTATTCTCTGTCATATGTGCCGAGGGAAGCTGGTAAGTGCTGTCGGCAGTAAAAGTTACTGTATGAAGTTGTGACTCTATAGGGGCAGCTCTTTCCGTGCATTTGACGCCCAGAACTTTCATGTGTTTTTTAACAACAGTTGCATGCCATGTGCAGCCTTTTACAGTGAAAAGTGTACTTTCCTGTACTGCTGTGCCCTGTTAAGAGGTGTACTATGAGATCTTACTCTGTGAGGGTGAAATGTGTGTATAGAAATAAACACATTATTGAGTCCCACTCAGATTGCTCAATTCTTTCAGTTTGGGAACTTCTGTTAAGTTCAGACAGCTGTCTAATGGATGGAAAAGAGAAAAAGAAATAATTATGACTTGTTAGCAGTTTACCTGATGTTTATCTTGTTAATCAGTGGTCCCAGGTCATTGTAGGAACTTGAGATGCCACAGGATAGTATAAGTGCATACAGATTATGTAGTTCAGGAGGTGGTATTCAGTTTCATAGTTAATTCTCAATGGAAATAAACTAAGAAAATAGGAAAAAAAACCCAGGAATTTTTAAAATATACATGTAGGCCAAAGCAGTGCAAGCATGCAAAAACTAGTATTCGACCAGTACCATCTCAGGTCTTTACACGAGCCAAACAGAGAGATGATAAATGTATCCTTCAACACAATTTTTCAGACATCTCTTTGTATCTGTTTCTTTAAAAATAACTAGTTACCTGCTTTGTGTTTAAAGTAGTTTATGACAAAGAAATGAATTAAGTTCTGTCAGTAATTAGTTTATCACTCTGCTTATATGTGTTATTTTTTTCCTTTTATCAGTATAATCCATGAGTAAATTCTAAGACCATTTATTTTCTATAACGGGTTTAAAACTTAAACTAACCCTTACCGTATTGGATTCAGAATTTGAAAGTATTAACCTGAAGCAAGAAAGATGTTAACATTTGTAATAAATGCTAACATTCACTAGCTTCATACAATTTACTTTTAAGTCTGATGTGGGACAAATGATTGTTCAAAGTGCATGCAAATGCTTAGTCCTGTCCTAATGAATATTTAAAAATGCATTTGGTCACTTCAGTGTGTGTGTTAACATGCCATTTTGGAATACTGATGTACCAGTAATAAAGATGTGATTCTTACGTTGTTTTCTGAACGGAACTAATACAGTATTTTGATGTATCACAGGTAAATTTTTCCATAACCTTATGGAGAAAAAGGACTTTGAAGCATGGCTTGATAACATTTCTATTGCATTTCTTTCTCTGACGGACTTGCAGAAAAATGAAACTCTGGATCACCTGATTAGCTTGAGTGGAGCAGTCCAGCTCAGGCACCTCTCCAATAATCTAGAGATCCTCCTCAAGAGGGACTTCCTCAAACTTCTTCCATTGGAACTTAGTTTTTATCTGTTAAAATGGCTTGATCCTCAGACCTTACTCACATGTTGCCTCGTCTCTAAGCAGTGGAACAAGGTTATAAGTGCCTGTACAGAGGTGTGGCAGACTGCATGTAAGAATTTGGGTTGGCAAATAGATGACTCTGTTCAGGATCCTCTGCATTGGAAGAAGGTTTACCTAAAAGCTATTTTAAGGATGAAGCAACTGAAGGACCATGAAGCCTTTGAGACCTCCTCTTTAATTGGACACAGTGCCAGAGTATATGCACTTTACTATAAAGATGGACTTCTGTGTACAGGTAGGAAGGACAGACAATTCGGAGTCTTAGAATTCTTTGTTTTCTCTTCCCCTTCCATATGATTAATGACAATTTGCTTTTCCATTACCAGGCAGATTATTTTCATAGTACTAATGCAGTTTAGATGATTCAAAATGGCTTTTTTTTTTTTCTTTTTAAATTTCTGAAACTCCTGGTGCACCAATAAAGTCATTACTAACTACTAAATAAGAAAAAGGAGACCAATTTCTTTGCTGGTTAAAAAATAGTAGCAGCAGGTATCATTGTCCCTGCCCATGGCAGGGTGGTTTGAACTAAATTATCTTTAAGGTCCCTTCCAATCCAGACCATTCTGTGATTCCAAACATGCTGCTACTAAGTCCATTCAGAAGTACAGATGTCAGTTATCCTCTTAGAGGATATTTTTCAGTTAAAGGGACCTTGTTTGAGCTGTGTGAGCTCTTCAGTCTTCCAGTGTTGCAAAAAAAGTCCTATCTTCTTCCGTGAAACAAGACAATTTCTCTCATGGAGTCTGTAGCACTTTGAATTCTTAACCGAAATGCTCTATGAAGACCTGTAAACTAGATTTAACCTTGGTACTAGTCTGACTTGCACATAATTTCAACAATGAACTGCTGTCAGAGCAAATTCCAAGGATTTCTCAGTCATTTGAGATGACAATGTTGTACAATAAGTTAGGAATAGTAAGTACTCTCACATTTGTTGGTACTTTAAGATGGTTACTAGAAACAAGCAACTAGATTCTAGTTAGTCTTTCACTTGCCTACTCAGCAGGGAATGTTAATACATGGGAAGCAGCATTGTGAAAATTTTCTGATACTCATGCTTGAAACCACCAGGAGAAATAACAGGTGTAAGGGTATGTCAAGATTTGGTGAACATCTTTCCTCCCTGAAGCAAACCAAAGCTTGCAGTACAGTCAGTGGCTCTGCAAACCTGAATTATGCATCACGTAAAACTTCCATGCATCTGTTTATCAGTAGACACTGTCAGCCAGAGATAGCACCAGAATCTGTAGAAAGTACTAAAAGACCACCAGGAGAAATAACAGGTGTAAGGGTATGTCAAGATTTGGTGAACATCTTTCCTCCCTGAAGCAAACCAAAGCTTGCAGTACAGTCAGTGGCTCTGCAAACCTGAATTATGCATCACGTAAAACTTCCATGCATCTGTTTATCAGTAGACACTGTCAGCCAGAGATAGCACCAGAATCTGTAGAAAGTACTAAAAGAGTGTGGATAAACTGGAAGGCCAGACATCTAGTAGCTTCATTAACATGAGAACAAGAGGCTTTGCTGTAGTGCTGAGACTTAAAACTAGGGCTTATTTCCCATTCAAGCAGCCTGAAAGTACTATTTAATGAGAAAAAGTTCAACAAGGGGAAGTGGAAGCCCTGCACCTGAGACAGATGAACTCCGTGGCACCAGTATGTGCCAGGGGCCACTGAACTGGAAAGCAGCTTGGCAGAAAAGGACCCAGGGTCCTGGTAGACACCAAGTGAACAAGAGCCACTAACGTGCCTTTGCCGTAAAGGTAATGGTATCCTGGGCAAAGAGAATCTAGGATTGAAAATATTATTTATTCTTTGCTTCTAATTATCATGTTCTTTTATATTCTAGGATCAGATGACTTGTCTGCAAAACTGTGGGATGTAAGCACAGGTCAGTGCATATATGGTATCCAGACACACACTTGTGCTGCAGTGAAGTTTGATGAACAAAAGCTTGTAACAGGATCATTTGATAACACAGTAGCCTGTTGGGAATGGAGCTCTGGGGCAAAGACACAGCATTTTAGAGGACATACTGGTGCAGGTATGTTGACATTTTCAATTTGTAATTTCACCAGTGAAGTAACATATATTATAATTTTTTTTCTTTTTACTTTTAGGCTCTATCCTCAGTCAGCTGAGTCACCCAGTTCCCCTCTGCTGGGGGGAACTGACCAGAACAGTCTGTCCTTGCATATGCCAAAGTTTAGCCATGTAATGTTTTGCAGTTGCATGGAAATAATACTAATACCATGGTTATTCAGTAGCTTTGAGTCTGTGAAAGAGATCAAAGAGATGCAAACCTTAGGCAGCAGGGTACACATGGCCATAGCAGTTCTTTATATCCTGAGACTGAGACAGGCTTACCATAAAGAGCAAGATACGACCTGAGAATCTGTATTTGCATTTCCCTCATAATTAAATTCTCTGTCTTCTGCAAAATATCCTCAGCTCAGCTGTATGTCTGTTCCCCCACGACTAAAGAGATCAATCAAATGTACTAATCCTGCTGGAATTGTCTTACAAGAACTCTGGATGTAGGAATTAGCTTAAGTTACAGTTTGCCATAATCCAACCATAAAGGAACCACTGAGGTACATGCTCTTAATTTGGACAAAAAACCTCAGTAATTTTGCAATGTAAATTTAGGAATCCAGAGCAACAATTCACACATACAGTTCAAGAACAACAGTTAAAGATGTAGTAGCATATGAACTTAGAGGCTATGAGTTAGTGTCCCACTTACAGAAAAATGCTTGCATAGAGACTGATACTCCTTATTTACTACCCTCTTTGCTTGTAGTTTTTAGTGTGGATTACAATGATGAACTTGATATTCTGGTCAGTGGCTCTGCAGACTTCACTGTGAAAGTATGGGCCTTATCAACAGGAACGTGCCTGAATACCCTTACTGGACACACAGAATGGGTCACTAAGGTGGGAATATTGATTTCTGATTAATCTTGGAAATACTTACTTGCACTGAATTTGTAACATGCGTTCTAAATTTCTGTTTAATTTATCTATTTAGTTTTCTCGTTATCAGTAGACACTGTCAGTCATAGATAGTGCCAGAATTGATAGAAAGTACTAAAAGGGTGTGGATAAACTGGAAGGCCAGACATCTAGTAGCTTCATTAACATGAGAACAAGAGGCTTTGCTGTAGTGCTGAGACTTAAAACTAGGGCTTATTTCCCATTCAAGCAGCCTGAAAGTACTATTTAATGAGAAAATCTTCATCCTAACCCTACGTCTAGTTGTAGAATCTGAAGAACATCTGGAAATACAGCAAAATAATATTTCAACAGAAAAAATATTTAAGCTATAGTTAAACCTTTCAGACTACTGAAGATACTTCTATTCCCAAGCAGCTGGAGTAATATTAGCAATCAGCGATTCAAAGACTGAATAAAAACTGGTTCTGAAAGAATGTTATTTTTTAAATCATGTAAAAAAACTAACGATCTTGATCACAAATATCTGAGCATGAAACAGTATTTTTCTTCTGAGTATTTCAGAACTTGGAAGGTGGGGGAGTGACTCTACAGGTGAAGTACATGTGTATGTGTGTGTGTGTATATATATACACACACACACATATATATATACACACAGTAAATTGTCACTAGTAGGAACAAGAAAAGTGTAAACTGTAGTTTTCCTTCAGTTGCTAAACGTATTTGTGTTGCCTTTATACAAGGGTACCAGTATGCAAAAAATGCAAATGAAAGCATCGAGATAAATCATTTCATCCTTCAATTACAGGTAGTTTTGCAGAAGTGCAAAGTCAAATCTCTTATGCATAGTCCTGGGGATTATATTCTCCTAAGTGCAGATAAGTATGAGATCAAGGTATGTGCCATCTATCATGAATATATCATCTTGGTCCATGGGAAAATAAAATACTTGCGTGCTTTGCTGAAGTTTACAAATAATAGAAGGCTTTACTTTATCCCATGTTTCCTGCTTGTGAGGCTGCATACAAGATGTGGAACTCTTCGGAAGCTGATTTTTCAGTGCTGTTCTTAACATTTAGATTTAAGTGATAGCTGTACATGAATGGTAATGCAAAGAGTCAGTGCTTTGCGGGATGTGCTGCCTTCACCTGACAGTGACGCAGTTAACTGCAAGTGCTGTTACTGTTGGCACCTTTGGGGTTGGAGAGTGCTGTACATAGTTAGTGGCTATGGAAGGGCTTCTTAACTGAAACACTGTTACCTTTCTGTTCCTGTTAGATGGTTGATTTTTTTTTCTCCCATTTTTTAAAATACTCATTTTCACCTGGATTTTGTAGGCTAGAGACCACACATACTGCAACAATACTTTAAGACACATCACTTGAAGAGCTGATGTTCCTACCTAAAGGCGATAAATATTTCTTTCTGAAAAAAACATGCACCCAATTACCTGATGCTTAAAGAGAGACTGTGGGGCTTGCTCTATTTGTGTAATAGCTTAAAATGGGAAGTTTTTATGGTCTTAAACTCTGTTTTAATTGTAGATCTGGCCTATTGGAAGGGAGATAAACTGCAAGTGCTTAAAAACACTATCTGTTTCTGAAGATCGTAGCATCTCCCTACAACCCAGGCTGCACTTTGATGGTAAATACATAGTGTGCAGTTCAGCACTAGGATTATACCAGTGGGACTTTGCCAGCTATGATATTCTCAGGTAAACCTTTCAGTTTGGGATTCAGTTTTCTTTAAATAAGAGTAGAACATTCTAATTTTAGTAACCCACTTCAGATGTAGACTAGAAGAATCTTGATAAAAATTCTGTAAACATCTTACTTTACATATATTGCCAGGTTTAATTCTAATTTCTCATCTGATATGCATCATTCAATTGCTGTTTTGGTTTCTGGCCACATGCTAGTCCTCTTTCATATCTTCATAAGCTGAAGTGTTTTGATGCAGACTTAAATCAGACTGCAGTGCTGTAGTTGTGATGGTGAAATCTATCAGACTGCAGGGAAATCCATCAGGGGTCAAATGTTCTGTTTCCATAAGAATGTATATGTTAGAAGTGGTGGCATTAAAGATTGTAACTTATTAAACAAAGAGATGCGTTTTAGAACTACTAGCAGACTGTTAGTACAAATGGCCTGAATATTTGTGGTGTAACTACCATTGAAAGGTGTACTTCAAAATAAGTGCTTCTTACCAGTTAACTGAGTAATTTCGTCTCTTAGTTTACCTTGCCATCTTTCAAAAGGGAAATTGCTGAGAAGCAGAACAGATTTTCATCTCCATACATTTTTTGTGCCTCAGTTCTGTCCTTTATGTAATGCTGTGACCATATGCCCTGTCAGTTGTGGAAAACTTAACTCTCTGCATTTCTGTTCCAAGTATTATTTATTAAGGGAAAATATCATAAAGGGTTTGAGGAACTAGGAGATACTTTTATTTCTCCCCAAGATGAAAATGCTTAACTTAGCATAAAACATCAGTAAAACAACATTCTGTTAAGGACCAGTCTTGGATGATTTATCTTCCCTGCTTATCACAAGAAGACATTTCTCTGTTTTACTTCTGCCTTTTAAAAGAATGGCCACAAGAATAGTAAGAGGTTTTACCTATTAGCTTAAAGATATTGAAGCATGAAATCCATATGGAAACTTACAGTAAAACACAAGTACGTTTGCTGTTTTGTGTATATCTCTGGAAATGAGACTTTGTATTTCCCCTTGTGCTCTGCAGAATAATCCCTTTCAAACCCTTTAGTCAAGTTCAGAAGGATCTGTCTGGAATGCACGAAGTCAGAACTGAAACCACAGGCCTGACTGCAGCTATGGGCTCAGTTGCTTAATTTGAAAAATTTGCATCCAGTTCTTTCAAAATTCGTTCAGAACAATGAGTTTAGACACATTTTGTATAGACACATAAGGATTTGTTTTAGTAGTTCAAGCTCATGAATATATTGTAAGAGAGTTTCTAACACTGTTTTCTTGTTTTCTAGGGTCATCAAACCTCCTGACTTCTCAAATGTGTCCTTGCTGGGCTTTGGAGAGATATTTGCTCTACTGTTTGATAACAGATACCTGTATATAATGGACTTGAGGACAGAAAAACTGATAAGCCGCTGGCCTCTACCAGAGTATAGAAAATCAAAGAGAGGTTCAAGCTTTTTGGCTGGTGAAATGTCTTGGTTAAATGGACTAAATGGACTAAATGATACAGGCTTGGTTTTCGCTACCAGTATGCCAGACCATAGTATCCATTTGGTGCTATGGAAAGAACATGGCTGAAGAGCTCACATATGCAGAATCTTCAGGAATATATGGACTATCAGGAGTGTGTCCATAAAATGAGACTTTGCATGAACCAAAGTTGCACACCCAATGGTATCATCATGCAATGCACAATCATTTACTTTTATTTGGGCATTTGGGAATGGGTTGTTTTGGACATAATGCAATACAGCATGCTAACAGTATTCACCACAAAATTTTGTCTACATTCATGTTTAAATATACCTATATGGGCTCTGAAGCATAGCTTGTAATGTTTAAACCATTCAAATCTGCTATCATGTCTGAAATGAAGTAGTGCTTGACCTGACTTCTGAGCTATTTTTTGTTGTTGAAACAGAAGGTGAAGCTACTATTTTAGAACCGTAGAGTTTTGTACATGTAACAGCAAATACTGGTTACAGTGCATGGCTGCTTAACAAAAATGAGAAGATAGCAAACCCTTTCTCCAGAATCGTTCTCTTCAAAATAGTTGGGTTTTTTTATGGTAGCTTTAAATACTTAGCCTTTGAAATAGAAGAATCAAATGAGTCCTTTAACTCGGATCAGATGTTAACAATAGTAATTTAAGTTCAGGAACATGTCATTATTATCTCTCATCAGCAAGAATGAGACAACTTTTCATCTATTTGATAGAGCCTGCCATCACAATTAACCTTGGAGAACCTCTGACAGTATTTGTCATTTTTGCTGATGGTAACTTAGAATGGCATGATCAGTATTTTATCATCCATATTTCCTATAGTTTGTGCTATAATGTAATTTTTTTCACAAGGTAGGTAGAAATACATTGAATGGGAAGGTTATCGTTCAGTCTCTACAGCAAGTCACTTCATTAAATGATGTGCAGCAGCCATTCACTTTTTACAAAGTTGCGGTTAATATAATGCTAATGGAGTAGTTGCTACATCTAGAGTTGGAAAGCAAGGGCAAATGACAGAATGCCACATCTCTGGGGAAAAATCGAATGTCAAAAGTCTGACTAAAAGCACAGGAGTAGAAAAAGGTCTTGGTGATCATCATAGGAGACCTGATGTATACAAGTTAACTGTGTCGTAGCAAATACTTGTCCACATACTTTTGTGCTATTTGACATGTACTTAAAAGCTGTACATACAACATCACATGCTTTAGAAACGCTTTAAGTTGGTTTTCCCTCCTCCCTTACAATAAAATCTGCCCTTAATGTCTTTTTTTTTAAACACAACTTCAAAATGTGAGTTTTCATAAAAATTGGTTCATGTTTTTGAACAGACAAAACTGTCTAACATTACTATTGTTAGTATGATTTTTTCTTCCCCCTGTCCAAGTGCTGAACAAAGGCCAAGGTTCCTAAATGTATTCAGTATGAATTACACCAATGGAAGAGGAGTTTTCATATGCAAGAATCAATCAGTATTTGAATATTGTGATAGGAACTGCATGAAGTCACAATGGAGCAGTGTCTCTTAAATACAAGGCCATAGTCTTAAGCACTCAGTTTTCTGCCTTTATTTGCATCAATTTACTTCGAAAAATACGCTTGTAGTCAAAGATTTTATCAACTGGAAACTAAATGCACAGCTCTCAATTCAAACTGCACTGACTTGGGCATAAATTATGATCTCTCTGAGCTTTTGCTGTCTTGCTCAAACATGAAACAGAAATTTTCAGTCACTTGTCTTGAACCCAGGACTCATCATTCTTAATATGGGAGTAACTACACTGCGTATGATGTGTGCAGTAACTCAGCTTACCTCTGAAGAAGCAACCTGTAAAACAGTGTTAGCTTTGAAAGCTCAAACAGGGACATGGCAGAAATGTCCTTGTTTCCAAAGCAGTGAAACAGGAAAACTTAGTTAACAACTTTATTAATGATGCAGAGTCCACAGAAAGATGGAGCATAAGATGCCTGAGAAACTGAGACCCAAGTTCAGCCTTCCAGTAAGAATGGTGGGGAAAGGGAAGGTGGTGGCAGGGAGTGGGGAAGCACTGCTACTGTCTCCAGCTAACTACTAAGAAGCTAAAGAAGGTGAAGTCAAGACTCATCTCAACATCATGCAGCAAGGCGATGGCCACTGGTCACAAACTGCAACAAGAGAAATGCTCCACTGTGAGGTTAGTTTAAAGACTGGAACAGGTTGCCCAGAGAGATTGTTCAGCCTACTTAGACAAAGTCTTGAACAAACAATGCTATGAGCAGGAAGTTGGCCTTCAGATGCCCCTTCTGAATTACATGAGTCTAAAATTAAAAATGGAGCTGTTGCCAGGCAAGCTATTACCACTCTAGCACGCACCTCAGACGTTAAGATAGCTGCCAGTTTGTTGATACAGACTTTGGAGATGCTGCTGCCACTGTGAAGCAAATGCTATGGTTTGCCAAAAGCTGTGCAGTGGTAGTGGAAAAGGGGTTTTGCCACAAGTTGCAGAAAAGTTTCAACTCAGTCAGAACTCTGAATTCTCCTTTTCTACATTGCCCCAGAGTATGCAAGCAGAAAGCATATGACAAGCATCCAATACACCCTACACTGCTCTTCTACCCTTTCAGTTTTATAAATTAAGTTATAGCCTTTAATATAGCAGCTAATAATTATTATAAACACAATTAGCAAACAGCTATTTACAGACTGTCTCTTGAAGACCTCCAATTAAAAGTTCCCCTTGGACATCTGCTAGCTAATGATACTAATCCACTAATGACAGAGCTCCTTAAGGGCATAGGTATGTGCCACCACAAAACAGATTAAAGAATGAAAGCACAACACTGGTGCAGAAATTTGAAAAAGCATACCTGCTCTCACATGCACGCTTCTCTCGGTCAGATACCAGTGTCAGACTGTCATTGGCCTCAGATGTACCTTCATAGGCAGTACAATGCATATATATCCTTGGGTGCTTATCAAATAGAAAAAAATATAACTGAAATTGTGAAGCTACAGTGAGCAAATTATTTTTGTTTGCTTTGCTTTCCATTTGACCCTATAGCAGAAGCTAGTAACTACTTAGCACTTTTTTTACATAGAGGTTGGAAAAGATACAGCTTCTATACTCTTACACCAATAAAAGGAAGGAATATAATTCAACTTACTTAACCATCACATAAAGTACTGAAATCCAAGCCATGTCTAAATTCCATGAAGGGATATTTTTCTTATGAGGTTTCAAGGTCCCAGAAAAAAAACACAAAAACTATTATGTTTCATAAATAGTTGTTCAGCCATCCATCCTTCCTTCTGGAAATAGCTTCTTTTAGTTCACAAGTCTTTTTCTTTAACATCAATATCCATCCCTTACCTTTGTTTTAAAGTTTTCCAACACAACTCAGCACTTAACACTTAAGTAATTTAGAAGAGCTGTGAGTAACAAAAGGGGGATTACTACTCTTAAATTTACAAGTCTCAAAAACCCAGTTGAACAGAAATTTAGATCAGCAAAACTTCAAGGTCTATCTTTAGTGTTACAATACATCACCATTTTAACAAACACTATTTCCAAGAATATAAGGGGTTAATCTTTTTTACAATTAAAACTAGAATTTGGTCAATTATTTGTTTACGTTTTGCTCAACTTGGTGTACACAAATTTTGTACATGGTGACATAGAAACTGCAAGAATTAAGCCATGTTACATTTTTGTACATACGTTGAACACTGTTTTGTATTATTTGAATCAGTTGAGAAATGTTGATTTATTTTTTTTAACTAAAATCGAATCTTACGTTTTTCAGAAGTAGTCAATCTCCATTGATCCTTGGTATCATTAAATGACTCAGGGCTCTCCTATAAATTCCCTAAATCATTGCTGTAAGATGTAAACTACACAAGAAAATTTTTATACTGTGATCTTTAAATGATATCCTCTGCCTCCCACAATACAGGTAGCCCTCCGCTTCCCCTCCTTATAAACGAGGTTTCACTTTTGAGCTTACAGCACGGTTCGAGACAGCACCTTGTTAACATTCATGATTAATGATGAGTTATATCTCCACAGTGTTGTGTCCCTGATGAGGGATTCTCTGGGAAGGTCTCCTTGAAGGGGCTTCCGACAGTGGTAAATGAGGGCAACGTCCATGGGAACGTTCACACTATTCCCATAAGCATTTAGGACAGAGTGAACTGATGTCTGAATCACCTTTCGTGGATCAACTATCATTTTCCTGGGATTGATTACATCTTTCCTGTCAGGCTCTCGGTGAACA